CTAAAATCTAAAAAATCCATCGAAAATTAGGATTTGTTGAATTTTTAGGCATCATTAAAGATTCTGACCACTAATGCATGGCGTCGACTGGCCGAAATCTGGGTTGCCACAACAGCTGATGAATGGGATAAACTATTAGAGAGAGGCTTTGAAGGATAAAGAGAGAGGGGAAAAGGAAAATAAAACAAACTATGATTTTGGGCCTTTTATAGCCCTTGCAAAACGATGCCGTTTTGGCATCCGAATCCACATCTGACCCGACCCGTTTGTTTAGATTTTTCTTTTCTTTTTCTTTTTATTTTCTGTTTTGATTTTGATTTTATTTATTTTCTGTTGATTTTTTTTGTTGTTTTGATGATTTTATTATTATTATTATTATTATTATTATTATTATGTTATTATTGTTCATTATTTTAAAAATAAGTAAAAAATAAAAATAAAGTCAAAATAAAATGTAAATTTGGTAAAATAAAAATAATATGTATAAATTTTTTTAAAAAATAACTATTTAAGGAAAATTAAAATTTTTTTGAGAAAAATATTATTTAAATTTCACCAAAGTGTTGGGATAATTGAAAAATAATTTTTGCTAAAAAATAACAAAAAAATATAATGAATTGTTTAAATGAATCTTTACTTATTGCAAGTAAAAATAACTTTTTGGATTTCACTATAAAGTTGGGATAATCTAAAACTATTTTTACTAAAATAAAAGTTTATTTAAACAATATAAAATAATAATAATAATAATAATAATAATAATAATGAATTATTTGAATAAATGTTCTAAAAAAATTATAATTTTTTAAAGAAAATTAAAAGAGTTCGATTTTTTTTAATATAAGTAAAAGATTAATATTTTTAGATTTCGTCGATAATTCAAGATAATCTAAAAGTTTTTTATATAATAAAAACAATAAACGGTAAATAATAACAATAAAAAATCACAATAAAAATTAATTAATTAAATCTCTTAATTATCATGAATAAAAAATAATTTTATTTAGGATCTCATCAGAAAATTGAAAAGATCATAAAATTTGTTAGAATTTTGCCAAAAAGATGAGATAATTTGTTAATAAATTTTGGAAACTCACCAAAGAGTCAGGATATTTATAAAATCTTTTTTTAATAAATAAATAAAATATCTTATGACGAATTTCGATAATTTTGTGAATGGTCAATTTTTTCAAAATATTTTCTAAATAAAGATTTTCTATAAATTTCGTCAAAGCGTTGAAAAGTTTATAGAATACGAAAATAATAATAATATTAATTTCACAGCAAAGAAATTTTTTTAAAATAAATTTTAGAAAATAAAATTTAAATATAAAGAAGAACATATCATCAAAATTAAAGGATTACACAAGTTTAATTGGTATCATTCTTAGAACAAGCGACATGATGGTGCTAATACCTTCCTCACTCATAGTCGTACTCCTAGACTTAACTCTGATTTCACAGACCTAAATTTCTTTTAATAAATCTTAATTTTTTTAAAGATTTTTATTAAAAGATAATATTTTTGGGTGGCCAATCACACCTTACAAAAAAATATTGGTAACGACTCTGTAAATTTTCACCAAGTCTAGCGATCGAGTCCCCCTAGATGAAAAATCGCTATGACAAGCCCTAATCCCTGCCACATTGAATTTGCTGTTTATGTTAGCTTTGTTTCCACACCTATGCTTGTTTCTTCAAATTCCACATTCCTCGTATTGGTTGTGTCCTTAATGCTATCATTTTCAACCTTGTCATCCAAGAAATCATGTAATTGTTCATTTCCCAACTCCCTACTATCTTCAAAAAAGTCACCAAAGTTTGATTTTGTTTATTAAAGGCTTCACTAATTTTTTTGTTTTCATTGAAAATTTTATAACAGCAATGAAATAACACACCAAATCCTTCCTAACTTTCATTATTCTTACTAGAAAAGGTTTTTTGTTATAATATTCGATAATATTTTCATCAATCTGATCTAAATAGTTCATCATTATGGACTAAAGTCTTGATACTTTAAAGTTTTCTCATCCATGCTCAACAGTGCACCCCATACATTTGCAATACTCTTAAAGGTTTCATAATTTCTTGCATGCAATGTAGACCATAGCAAGTAACATAGGTAACCCTATGTTTCAACTGAATGTTCTTTAACTATTCCTTTACCTCATCGACCACCCTCTAAGCCATGACCAACCAAGTTTTTCACTATAGCCCACATTTCTTTATCTTCAAACTCAATGAGAAACTATCATCTAGAGTTTTTTTAATAGAGATATCGAACACTCCATTCATCATGAAATTTTTCATCAGTCTATATGTCTCATAATAACCTATTGTTGTCCCAATCAAACAGTTTTAAAGCTTATTAAGTATTTCATATTCCACAACACCATTGTATGTTCTGAGTGTGATGGTCCCATTATTCTCTGGTTTTCTACCATTATCAGTTTTTGTATTGCTTTCAACTTTTTACCAAGGATAGTGTTTTTACTAATCATTAAGGCTTGAAGATACATCTATTGATTACTAGTTACATTCTCTCCCATTTGCACTTTATTTTTTTCTCCTTATTCATGTTGCCTTCTTGATTGCATTTTGTGTTTGTAGACCCTGGTAGTCCTATTGACTTGATTCCTTGCCTTATAGTTCTTTTTCAGTATTCTGTTCTACCATTGTACTTTGCCATATTTATCCCAATGCAAAAATCAAATAACCAAATCCTGTTAAGCCTTACACACGCTTTTCAAGTCCCTACTATCGACATATCAAACAAATCCAAATTTTATTCCACTATAGCTCTTCTTTTGGGGTATAAACACATGTACCACTAAACCATGATGTTGAAAAATACTTTATAGACATCTCTGATTCACACTTGGTGGAATGTTGTTAACAAACATTGTTGACACCATGGGATAAAAGCCCTTTTGTGATATGGGATGTCTACCGTAATTATTTTCCTTTTTTTTTAAGTCATCTTTATACCTTCCTCAATTTACAACTTGAGTTCCCTTCTATATCTCAATTTGTTTAAGAATAATTTGGGTAAAACTATTCCAAAATGTATTGGAAACTTTAAAAATAAATATATTGACCTAATAGGCTAGTATGCCTTATTTGTTGAATTAGGTATGATGTTTGATGATATGTTGATATCTACTATCTACACTCGGATATTTCTGAATTTTTTTACTATTTTAAATATATAAATATATATATATTGTGAAGTATGGAGTGGATTGAAGACATTGTTAGTTGTTTATGTAAATTATTGTTTAATGTCTTTAATGGAACATTACTTGTGAAAGTTAGAGACTTGGACTTGATGTAGTGTAATTTATACTATGTAAATGTGTAATAAGGTATAAGCTACTAACTATTGCTTAGTGTTTAGTGTCTTCAAGAATTTTGTAGTTAGTCTTACTTAGCTATTGCTTAATTGTAATTTGTAAGTTGTAAATGATAGATAGTTTATAATTATTTATTATTTTAGCCGTATTTTCATGTATATTCTTTGTAGTTGTGTTTATTCATGTTATTTATGTTTATTTGTGTCATGTTTAAACAAATTAAATGTATACGTGTTAGTTGTGTTATGTTACATGTAACACATATAATAAAACGTGTCATGTTCATATTTAAAATTTAACAAATTTTATAATTCGTGTCGTATTTGTGTTTTAATAATTTGTCTCATTACACATGTCAAACACGATATAAGACACAACACGAGAACATAAATTATCAGGTCTACCTTAAATACACTCTCATCTCTTACTATTAATAGTTTCATTGTAGCTAAATTTCTTTTTAGGTCATTACTCATTAAGAATTGTTTTATAACCATTGAAATTATAAATTCTTTATTTTACCAACAAACTGTGCGACTATTGGAACGGTAACTTCTTACGTCTAAATTAGAAATGATGAATAAAAAAAAAGTCACGGTAACTTCTTACTTCCAAATTAGAAATGATGAATAAAAAAAAAGTCAATGGCATGCGCCGTTGATAGCATGCATATGCCACCCATATCAGACAAACCATGTCATACTTGCCCTTTCTTGCTGTATCAACTTAAAAGAAAACGCAGCCCATAGTCAATAATAATACCATTACACTTTGCAACTTGCTCTATCAAAAAAAGAGCAAGTAGCCAAATTTTGTTCTACTCAAATGGGTAATTATTATATGTATATATATGTGTAGAGGAAAAAGACTTGATGCCCAACCTAAAATAAATACTGTAGAAATCAGGGACTCAAGATTATGTGCAAACTACAAATAAACTAAAATAAAGGCATGGAAAGGTTGTGAGGAGTTTTACTACCACTTCTCTCTCAAACTTGTAGTTTCTTTTGTCTCTTTACTCTCTTTTCTTTTATATATATATATAAAATACAATTGGTACTTCAAATATGATGAGGCACGAGAAAACGACGGGCTCGCCACCTGCCCACGCGCACGCGTCCCAAGAAACCCTAATTTCCGAGGCCCCTTCAAAAGGAGAGCTCGTTTTTATTAACAAAATACAAGGTAACCATGTATTTTAGTCAAGTGACACCAACAATGTTAGATTAATTGATAAAATGAAGAGTTTTTTTGTCAATTAATATTCCATTTTTATGAGATGTATTTTGAGAATAAAATTTTAATTGTATCAAATAGAAAGTATATTTCAAAATCATCTTAAAAAAATAAATTTGAATAAAACTTGGAAAGTCCATCGATTGGTTTATATGGAGAAGAGTTTTATTTGTTAATCAAATTTTGATTTTAATGAAAGTGTTTTTAAGAGTAAAATTCTAATTGGATTAGAGAATGTACTTTTAAGATAGTTTGAAAAACGGATCCCATTTAAAGCTGAAAAAACCTTAAGATAAAAATATTAAACAAAACAGTAGAAAAGGAAAATAATAAGGAAATTGCGTATTAATAATATTTACAATTAATATATTATTATAGTTATATACACTCGCAGCCGATGGCTCCCCCAATCAAAACACAATACACAGTTTCAACCTAGAAAGAAAGAAAAGAACATGTGATCCAATCTTGTTTTAAGTTTATGTATAGTTTTTGTTCTTTTAAATAGTGCAAAATTTATCTCTCACTGCTTTAGTTTATTCTTCTCTTTCCTTCTTTCTTCCTCCTTTTCTTTCTTTCTCTGTGTTTGATACTATCAAGGGTTCTTTGTATTTTGTCAAATATTTCTGGATCGTTGATCTTGTTGATTCATCTTCACCAGAGATTAATTGGTTCTTTTTTTTTTTTCTATCTTTACTTGATTCCCAGTTTGGAATTGCATCTAATTCTCTCTTGCTACACCTTCTCATTTCCCTCATCTTATCATCTCTCCTGCAAGGCTACAACTCTATTTTTCTTAACCAAAATTTGTGAAAGATAAGTTATGGCAAGGTAACAAGTAGAAAGAACCCGGTTGAGGCAGCTATAGCAATTAGCAAACCATTTTCTTTCTTGTTGACTTCTTTCTTTAATTGAACTTTCTGAAGTCTGATCACAAAACCCTGAAATTAAGTTGTTAGAAGAAAGTAAAAGGTCCACCGATTCGGGTCTTTTGATCTTCTGTTTTCTTACTTGTTTTTTTAATTCAATTTGCAACCATGGCGAATCCTTGGTGGGCTAATCAAGTGAGTCTACCAGGCATGGACCAGGCAGGCAATTCACCAGCCTTAAACAAACGTGATCTTGAAATTTCGATGAACGACACAATCAAAAATAGAAGCACAGGCCAAGGGGATGAAGATGAAGATAAAGACACCGGCGACGAGCCTAAAGAAGGGGCAGTTGAGGTCGGTAACAGAAGACCCAGAGGCCGTCCTCCAGGCTCCAAAAACAAGCCCAAACCACCCATTTTTGTCACAAGGGACAGCCCAAACGCGCTCCGTAGCCATGTCATGGAAGTTGCAAGTGGTACTGATGTAGCTGAAAGTATAGCCCAATTCGCTCGGAGACGACAACGGGGGGTTTGTGTTCTTAGCGGCAGTGGCTCCGTAGCTAACGTTACACTAAGACAACCAGCAGCACCAGGAGCCGTGGTTGCGCTCCATGGAAGGTTCGAAATCTTGTCTTTGACTGGGGCTTTTCTGCCTGGACCAGCTCCACCAGGCTCAACGGGGCTCACTGTATACCTAGCTGGTGGTCAAGGACAAGTTGTTGGAGGAAGTGTTGTAGGTTCACTGATCGCAGCAGGGCCTGTTATGGTCATTGCAGCAACGTTTTCCAACGCAACTTATGAAAGATTGCCCATAGAAGATGATGAAGAAGCTGGTAGTGCTGGCCATGGAGGTCACATCCAAGGAGGATCAACCAATTCTCCGCCAGCAATCGGAAGTAGCGGCCATCAAACAGGTCTGCCTGATCCGTCTTCACTTCCAATATACAATTTGCCACCAAATATGCTCTCCAATGGAGGGCAACTAGGGCATGAGGTCTACGCTTGGGCTCATGGGCGGCCGCCTTACTAATAAATGAGAGCATCTTTATATATAAAAGAGTGATGAGACTTAATTTTCTTTGATCTTAGAAAAATGTTGTGTTTGTATTTAAAGATAGAGATTGGTAGAAAATAGGAAAAACAAGGAGATTGTGTGATCTCATTGTATATTAAACTCTCTCCCTTGCCTTTGCTTTTCTTTTCTGTTTGCAATAAAAGAAGATTTTAGAGAGTTCTCCTTTAAACTGTTTTTCCCCATATCCTGCAATATAAATTATTGATATGAATTGTTCATCTCTGAGATAGTGTTTCTTTTTTTTCTTTACATATTTTTCTTGGATGGATCACTTATTTTATTTGTTTTTACATATGATCTCAGTAAATTATAGTTTTCTTTGATTAATATGCATGATGGATTAGACACATACAAAAAAAAAAAAGAAGATATATTAGTTATTTATATTGCTTCAAGGAAAAAGGTATCCTTGTTATTTTAAAGATTTGATAATCAACAGCATTAATTATTTTTTATTCTATGCTTTACGCCTTGGTTAATCCCCCATTTGCCCAGATGATGAACTGCTTGAAGGGACTGTTTCCTAAATTTTGTGTCATGTTTTTGTTTTTGATTTTGTAGGTTGGCAGATAAGGAGCACTTACATATATATTTTTGTCTACGTGTTTATGTCTTTCATACAATTTTTAGTAAAATAAAAGCAACCTCAAAAAATTATTTTATGCTATCGGCAGATAAATTAACGTAAAGAATATCAATAAGATAGCACTGGGTATTCTGCAGAAACAACATTATATATATATATATATATAAACTTTTTTTATCAGGCAGACATAACCATGTAATGTAATAGAATAACCCAAATTAAAAAGGGAAAAGCACACATCTTTCAAAACAGTGTTAAATTTTGAGTCAAATCATTTGATCTTTCGTTGTTTATGGATGTTAGAAATTATTAAAACAAAAAAAAAAAAAAAAAGGTTTTACTACAGACATTCCTTTTTTTTATTTTTAATTTTTTTTACATTAGCATGAATTCCCCACAATTGAGCAATGCCTCCTGCATCAGTCTGCTTGGGTCATTGCATTTAAGAGCCCCACATGTCTGACCTAACCAAAGCAGCCTCTTCCATTGCAGTATGGCTCTTCTGTCTGCCATTTTTGGGGAATACATCCCCCCTTGAATTCACACGTTTGATGGTGGTGACCTCAGAGTGTTGAATGAGATATCTCAATTTTCACAATCCTGAATCACAAATTTATTAGTAGAATATTGATTAAAATTCTCTCTCGAATAGTATATACTTTAGGCTGAAGAAATTTTACAGCCAAAGTGAATTTTGCTTTCAAGATTTTATTGATTCATGGTCCATTTGGATAGAAAGTGAGATTAAGAATAATGATGAAAGAGAGATTAGTTACTGTAGTGATAAAATTGAATATTATAATAGTAAAATTAAAATAAGTGATGAAATATGTATTTAGATATAAAAATAACGACAACGGTAAAGTAAAAAAAATATATATCATTAAAGATATTAGAGTAAAAATTATATTAACAAAAAATTTTAATTATTTAATATTTATAAAATTAATTAGACTTTTATTTATTAATTTATTATATAATAAATAAAACTTATTTATTATGATAAATTAATAAATTTATTTTATAAATTTTAAATAAAAATTAAAAAAGTTAAAGTTTAAGGATATTTTTATTTTTGTAATAGAAAATGAAGGATGAAAAAGGGAAAAAAAAAAGGAAGTCCAGTGCGTTTTTTTAACTGGAGCTAAATCCTTCGGTGAAGAAAAGCAGATAAACGTGCACAGCATTGACATCCAAACATACGTTAAACATTAGTAAGCACAAATTTTGCTGACAACTGCTCCTTACTGGAGGTGTAGTTGAAACCAAATGGGGCCTCAGTCTCTCGAAAAACAAAAAAAATTGTTTCAATCAAATCTGTATTTAATGGAAATTACAAATTTTGATGTGTATTTATACGTATTGCGTGCTTTAAAGATGTTGATGAGTAAAATATAAGGGGTAGAATATTATCTGTCTTTATTCATAGATTTTTATATTATACTTATCGTTATACTTATACCCGATGAATATTTTAAATTTATCTCTATTTTTATCTTCATGAATATTTAATGAGTATGGATATTTTCGTATCCTTAGCATTAACAAATATTTATTTTTTATTTTTTATTTTTATTTTATATATTTATGTAATTTTTTTATAAATGTATATTAATATATTTTTTTAAACAAAAATATATTGATTCTAATTAATTTAAAATAATAATTTATATTATTTAATAAAAAAATTTATTTACTATATATATAAAAATATATATGTAGAGTACGGATATTGAACAAGTGCTACATTATCTGCCTCTATCTTCATATCCGAAAAAAATTTTAAATTGTATCTATTTTTATCTTTTTTTTCATAATGTAATACGCATTTTCATTCCAATTAGAGTAAAAAGTTGGATTTTCTATTATGCACAATTCATAATTTTGCATTTCATAATTCTGTTGTTGGTTAAACCGCCTGCGCTACTTTATCGCCACCATTACTGGCAGTTCCATGATCGCCAAAAGTTGCTTTTCTTGTGGTGAATAAAATCTACATTCTACCTTTTTATATATTTTTTTAAATATAAATATGCTAATTATTTAAAAGGGATAATTCAATTGATAAAGAGAGAATTATTTTCTGTTCTTCTGTCACGGTGAAAAATATTGTAAGAGTAAAATCCAGAATGCACCAAACTAATATGACAAATTAAAATTTGAGGATATATAATTATTAAAATATATAAATATGCTAATTAAATAAGTTTTGTGCTTGCCGCACATGCTTGGTTTCTTGATATAATAATGCAATTGATTAATTAATTGTTGATCACTCGAGTTAAGCCTTTTGATATATAAACTAAAAAAAACTGAAATAGCTTTATTTTGCTGTAATTATTAGAGGTATTTTTAATTAGCACATAATCAACTTTATGAAAAAAAGGGCCCTCTAATTCTTTAAACTTCAAAGTGCATTCATAAAGTTAATTTTATACTGATATCAAACTCATATATATAATGTCTTTTTCTTGATCTAATTTAATTATTTAGGCTTTTGTTATATATATATATTTATATATATAATGATTATGTCACATATCCCCAACAAATTTACAAGATTTTAGTAATGGTGTGTTGATTAAATTATTATCTGAACTGAATTAACAAGCAAAGTCTTTGTATAATATAAGTGTTAAGCTATAAGATTAAAAAATTGTCATATGTATGACAAAAATATTCATATAAGAAGACTTATTCGACTACCCAGCATCTGGCCACCTTATGGCCAGGTCTTTTTCTAATGTATAATTGTGAGCAGATCAGCTTATTTTATGTTTGGACTGCAGATAATATTAGGAAATTCATATGATGATTCCCATTTCCCTCCTTGAAATAATAAATTTTAACTCTTAAAAAATGAGTATTACGCTATTATGGTTAGATCAGTTCAACATACATTAATTTTGAGTTTTGCAGACTTTTTATGAGATAATACTTCAAGTCTTGGTGGCCAAGAAGGAAAGGTCTCTTCTTTCTTATTGGATGCTTTCTCCTTTTATTTATTTTTTATGGTGCTAGGACTATTTGGTTTGTTCACTTGATGTTCAGTCTTAATTATTTGGGACTTAAACTTAGCTTGGTAGAAAAGATAAAAAGAGGTCAAGATGGAAAATTTTGTAATCTAACGATTAAACTATAGATTAAAAAAGTAATTATAAATTTTAATAATTAGAGTAACAAATTTTTCATCTTTATCTATTTTCATCATTCTTATCAAGTAAAGCCTGTAAGTTTGTTTTGAGGGATTTTGTAAGATATGCGTATGTTCTTAAGATGTTTTGTGTTCTTGTAACTGAACTATGTAGCAACTTTTTGGTATTGCTAACCTTGTCATTAGTTGTTTTCCTTTTTGGTTTATTAATAAAATCAATTGGCTGAGGAAAAAATATAATAAAAGGTGGGTAATTACACTAGGGTATGAACTTGAAATCCTTAATTTCAGCAATAAATTATTCATATTCCCATATTTAGACTAAGGGAGAAAATAAAAGTAGGCAGCATTTTATTGTTTAGTCAAAGGCAATTATTTTTAAAAGGATGTAAATGTTATGGCTCTAAATGTAGTAGATAGGGAGGAGAATACAATTTTTTTTGGGGTATAAAATTAGGGGTATCTTCAGGTTTTGCTTAAGCCTAATTTCTTTTTTCGATTTGTCTATTTATTTTTGAAATGCTTTTAGAGGAATCGAACTTTAATTAAAAAAGAAAAAAGAATTCATCTCTTTATCAACAGGACTAACCCTTGTAAGTGAGAAGAGAAGACAATAACAATATGATTAGATAGTTTAAGATGAAAAATTAATCAATCTAAGTTAAAATATGCCTTGTAGTATATTATAGGAAAAGAAATAGATAGAAGGAAAAGTGAGAGAAAACCCCATTTGTATACTTTTCACTTCACCCCATCCACTACTTTTTTTTTTTTTTTCATCATATTCGAGAGATGCAACTTGAGAAAAAAGGGTTTCATCATTTTATTCTTCCCACTAATTGTCCTTGAGATAAGAAAATCATTTTGATTTGATTTTGTACATGACTTTGCATTATCATGTGATTTCATCAGCACTATGCAATTTTCCTAACTTACCTAAGTTATTTTATTTGTTGATTTTGACATCTAAACTATCCTGATTAAAGAATGCTGGAAAGATATGCAAAAAAATACTTTATTAATCGAGGATTATTAGATTTAATTAATTATATGAAGCAGCAGCATACTTTTTTTTCAATCATCAATTAATTAATTAATTAATTAATGACCTAACGAAGATTAGAAATAGTTGGAAGATTTCATTGGTGTGAATTGAATTTGTACAAATATCTTGTTTTTTAAGTGAAAGATTGCAAGATTTTTCCTGTGGAATCATTAGAACAATGAAGACTTTTTTCTGGACATGTGTGGTTTTAATCAAAATGTTTTATATATATACATATATAGATATAACATTTTAAAAATAAATGTCTAATATCTTCAAATATATAAATAAATAAAAAGTTATATATAAAAAAAAACAAACCCATTTTTATTGTAGCCAAACATATATTATTCTTATTCAACACTCATATATGATCGGTCCACTTAATGTTATAGAATTTATCAAATAAGAATAAAGAA